GTTCATACTCCCTCACCATTCAAAGGGTGTTCATCTCAAAGTGCATAGCTAAATGTCTATGGAGATTCTCAGTCATCCAGAAACTGATTTCCAGAAAAATTGCCGACTACAGGAACTTCAGTTTGAGATGCAGACAACACAGATTCTTCCCTGGCGGCCTGCGCCTGTGTCCTTCCATTCCTCACCATCCAGTCAGAGCTGAAGAAGCTTTTTGGATAAGAAGCAAAACAAAACTTGATGGGGGGGGAGAAACGCAGCAGCAGCAACAGAGATGCTGCGAGCTAGAGAGCTCTGATCTCTAAAGCTGAGTGGCCGGCTGAGAGGAGTAGACCAGACAGCGGAGCTGAGCCGACCGGAAAGCTAAACGGAGGCTTCACCAGAGCAGAGACAAGCCCTGAAAGAAAGAAGGGAGCTGGCAGAGAAAACAACAAGAGGCCGGAGTAGCGAACAACGAAAGTGAAGGTAACAATTAAGTTTGAGGTCCCAATAGGAAGGGAGAGAAGATCCTTAGTAAAGAATAAAAAGGAATTGGAGCTCAAAAACTTAAAAAAAAATAAAGGGAAGAAAAGGATAAATGAAACTAACATAATAGTAAGAAGGTTGAATAAATAACAAGGTAGAAAAATGAACACAAACAGGCAGAAAAAAGGTTAGGAAAAAAATAGGCACAATTACTTAGAACAGAGAAGAAAGAAACAAGGCTAATAGAAAAGCACATTCACCAACCAAAAAGGGATTTTCAAACAACAAACTCATGGAACAGGCAGCTGATACTATTGTGGTATGCAATACATGTTCCATGTATGTGCTTATGTCCAAAGAACACCCAAATTATACATGCATTAGATGTAAACTACTAGAGGAAAAAGTAAGAGATCTAGAGGCAACTCTAGCCAAACTCCAACATACGAAAAACATACGAAAGAAAGCTCTACCCAAACCGAACTAAATAATGAACAAATAACTCCCAGAGGAGTTACTACTGATAAACCTTGGAGGAAGACAAATGGAGGTATGTCACACATAGAAGGAAACACAATAATCAAAGAAAGAAGCAGCAGCCTCATTAAAACTGAGCAATCGATTGCTCCCCTAGATGGAAATATATTATAATAATAATAATAATAATAATAATAATAATAATAATAATAATAATAATAATAATAATAATAATAATAATAATAATAATAATAATATTGTTGGAAGGAATCTTGGAGGTCATCTAGTCCAACCCCCTGCTCAGGCAGGAAACCCTATACCCGTGGTGTCGAACCTATGGCACGCATGCCAAACTGGGCACGCAGAGCCCTTTCTGTCAGCACGCGGGCCGGAGGGACGCTCCTCCCCCTATCCACGTGCACCTGACTAGTGGGAATTGGAGAGGGCAGGAAAACCGAATTCAGCAGCGCTCGTGGGAACAGCCGCGAGAGCTGGGTGGGGAGAGGGGAACCAGTATAAAAGCAGGTTTTGGCGGGAGTGCAAGAGAGCAAGTGAGCGAGCAGACACCCTTTGGAAATGATGGTGGGCGTGAGTTTGGAGAAGACAAGTAGGACACGGCATCCATTTGCGCGCTTTGCAAAAGGCTAGCGGGGAAAGGAGGACACGTAAAGAATCCCTCCCCAGAAGCAACATCAAGATGGCCATGCCCACCCTGGCCACGCCTACCCACGCTGCCATGGCTACCATAGCTTCGCCCACTCAGTGGGCCACGCCCACTCAGTGGGCCACACCCATCCGGCACCCAGCGATGCATAAGTGGGTTTTGGGTTGCAGTTTGGGCACTCGGTCTCTAAAAGGTTCGCCATCATTGATCTATATTGTCATTTCTGAAGATTGCTTAAACTGGAGAGGGGAGGAGGAGGAGGGGAGGATAGTTAATTAGTAATAACAGTGTAATGCAAAAGTTAGGCTCTTATAAGTTTAATTAGACAACATGACCTGTGGAAACAGGAATGATCTTCCCCATTGGTATTTTGTTGTTGTTGTTTGTTTAGGAAAATGGTTTGGAGCGTTGGAAATGACAATCACCTGGCCGTGGCTGAAGCAGCCACAACTTTGCTAGATTTCCATACCATATGGTAATGAATCCTGAGTTTTGGACATATTCTGTAAATTAGACCATTTTTTGTATGTTGATTCAAAAATTGCACTGTTTCACCCAACTGAAACAATCAAATAGACACAAAGAGTTTCAGTAGTATATACTGTGTTTTCCCAAAAATAAGCCCTACCCCAAAAATAAGCTTGACTTTTTTTGGGGGGTGGGCCTTATATAAGCCCTACCCCCAAAATAAGCCCTACTTATTTGCTAAGACATGAGGTGGGGGAGGGGGGAGCTGTCCCATGTGCCCCATATCCCGCTTATTGTGCCGCAGGGTTCTGCTGCTGTGAGGCACATCCTGCTGCTGTTGCCGCTGCTGCGAGGCATGTCCTGCCGTTGTTGCTGCCGCCACTGCGAAGTGCATCCTGCCACCATTGCTGCCGTTGCGAGGTGTGTCCTGCCACCATTGCTGCCGCCATAAGGCGGCAACAGCCACAGGACGCGCCTTGTGGCTGCGGCAACAGTGGCGGGATGTGCCTTGCAACGGCAACAGTGGCTGGATCCGCCTTCTGGCGGCAGCAACAACAGCAGGACGCGCCTCACGGCAGCGGCTGCAACATAATGCCTCACAGCAACGGCAGCAAAAGCCTTGCAGCACGGTAAGCAGGTGTGAAGCACGTGGGGCAGCTCCTGGAAAAAAATAAAACAAACCCTGAAAATAAGACATAATGCCTCTTTTGGAGGCAAAAAAAAATATAAGACTGGGTCTTATTTTCAGGGAAACTCAGTAGATAGAAAAGAAGGAATGTCTTTAAACTTCCATATTCACTTAATTGTGGATGACTCATGTATTCTATGTTGTGCCACTTTATTGCATTTTAGGGCTACTTTGTACATTATAAAATAGTGTAGCATAAAATAGTGTAGCAATTGGAAAGTTGGATATGGGTAGGAATCTCAAGATCAAATTGATATACCATTACATTCCTCCATCTATAAAACAAGTATAGGTTCCTTTCTGAGTTGCATTTTTTTTCCTAAGCAGGGAGCCAAATGCCAAGGAAGGTACTGTCCCATGTGCATTTCAGATATAGTGCTGAGTTTTCAGGTGGCTAAATGTAAGTGTGTACTTGGCAGCAGGCATAAAAATGTATTTTCACTTTTACTGATGGGCTGGATTGAAATGACTCCATTGCTCTTGTTTCTTTCCTAGGTTCAGTTCTGTTACTTTTTGTGCAGTGAAGCTTCATACATGTTTTGAACTGTTGCTTCCATTATTTGTTATGGATATTTGTTATTTTTAAAAATGAATTCTACAACAAAAAAGTGACACCTCAAAAATCCTTTCTCCCTCATTTTGCTTGTTTGTTTTAAAAGGTGCAGAAGTTCAGGCTGAATGGTATTGACTGTCCAATCTACAGAACGGAATGACTTAAAAAAAAATTAAGCCATACTTGGATGTACTTCAACATAGCCAGTGAACAGTAGCAATTTTACACTGCTCTCAGGGTATTGGCTTGAGAGAAGACTCATATCAGTATGCCAATGAGATATCTATTTTCCTGCAGCTGTTTTTAAAAAGTGCATTTTAAAATTGTCTCCTTAAGGAAATATAGGACAAACCTTTTGTTCATTGGCATCCTTCAGTCTCGAGAGACTATGATATCGTGCTCTGGAAAGAGGTCCTAAGGCAGCATCTGGTGTGGCTAAAAAGGCCAATTTGAGAATGGCAGTCCCTTCCACACTGAGGGCAGATACAATCTGTCCCCTGTCCAGCCCCCAGGTTTCGCTGGTTTCGGGACTGTCTCTTTGCCTCAGCCTGCCGCACAAGTGTCTCTTCAAATTGGAGAAGGGCCTGCTGCGTCTTTAGCCTCCAGGCTGAACGATCAGAGGTCAAGGATTCCCAGCTGTTAATGTCCATTGCCAAGGCCTTTAGGTCCCTCTTGCAGATATTCTTATATCGCAGCTCAGGTCTCCCTCTGGGGCGCTTTCCTTGCATTAGTTCTCCATACAGGAGATCTTTCGGAATCCGACCATCAGCCATCCTCACGACATGCCCAAGCCAGCGTAGACGTCGCTGTTTCAATAGTGTATACATGCTAGAGATTCTAGCACATTCCAGGACTGCGCTATTTGGGATTTTGTCATGCCAGGTGATGCTAAGAATACGTCGGAGACAGCGCATATGAAAAGTGTTCAGCTTTCTCTTTTGCCGTGCGTGAAGAGTCCAAGACTCACTGCAGTACAAGAGTGTGCTCAAGACTCATGCTCTATAGACTTGGATCTTTATATAACCTTTTGTTATGTTTTTAATATTGTTACTGATTCCCACCCTTCCAAAAATGTCCCCAGAAGTCTGTGTGTTTCTCATCCTGATGATATTCAGAAAGTTGTTGAAAAATCTGACTATTTCCCTAGGGCAATGGTAGGCAACCTTGGCTCTTTTATGACTCGTGGACTTCAACTCCCAGAATTCCTGAGCCAGCATGCTGGCTCAGGAATTCTGGGAGTTGAAGTCCACGAGTCATAAAAGAGCCAAGGTTGCCTACCCCTGCCCTAGGGAATAAGGTGGATTGTGAGACCTTGTAGGACTTTTGTGTTATTCTCTTTTTTTTTTTTTTTTACTGTTTCCTGGTTTGAAAGTTGTAAACCAGATACAGTCTTGTGGACTTGGGTAGCCTCTAAACTGCATTAAAAAAAAAATATGAATCCCATGATGGAGCTAACCACGTGAATATATTAATGGAAATAAATAAGTCCATAAATGAATGGATGCCTATATCTGAAAAGAAATGCAAACAGGCTCAGCATGTAACCACTCCCTGCTTACTTTTATCTATTTCTGAAGAGGGCTAACTTGGAAATAAGTCAATTATGAATGCAAAATATTAATGGTCTATAAGATTAGGATGCTCAGTTGTCATCGCTGTCACAGCACATATTTTAATCTTTCTTTCAGTGTGGAGATTGGTGAAAGTGTTAGAGGAGAAGATGTGTACATTATCCAAAGTGGTTGTGGAGAAATAAATGACAACTTGATGGAGCTTCTTATCATGATCAATGCTTGCAAAATTGCATCATCTTCCCGTGTGACTGCAGTAATTCCATGTTTTCCTTATGCCAGGCAAGATAAGAAAGATAAGGTAAGTGAGGGGTGAGAATTCTCCATTAATCAGTTTAATAAGATTATGAAGATTATGAAATAGAGATAATTTATTTACAGGTAAACCATTTGTTCCATAACTGATTTGTTTGGTACAATATTTTGTGAAGTGCTCAGCTTCCCATTCGTCCGCTCTTGCCCCCTCAGGAGTTTTGGAAGGTAGGAAAGGGAGCCCACAATGTTGTCATTGCACAAAATGAGAACTATGATGATGTGTCAAAAAGCTAAAGTTTTTTAGGATTACGAGTCTACCTTTTGCTATTATATTATTTTAAATGGAAAAAGAGAGCATTTTATAAGATAATTATTGTTTTATATCTGTTTAGCTAAGTATAATTTTTATTTTTCTGTGGCAGGGAAGGGGCTAAAAGTGGTATACGAAGCTACAGAAGAATTGGGCTGTATTATCTTAAGAAGTTCCAAACCAGAAACAATAGTGAAAAAAGTTTCTGTTCTTAAACATTAAAAACAATTGTTAAAAGTTCTTAAATCTGGCTAGGATTGAGCACCCAGGCCACTGCAAAAGGTTTATTATACTAGTACCGGTACTTATAATTTTTTTCTATTTAATAATAATTTAATTAATAATTTAATTTATATACCGCCCTTCTCCCGTAGGACTCAGGGCGGTGCACAGCATATTAAAACAGACAAACAAAATACATCAAAGAACAAAAAAAAACCCCCATAAAACCAAATTAAAAGCCAAATATTCGAAGCTGTGTGTCAATTAAAATTTTCTTAAAATCATCCCTACCTAAAATCCTCCCTAGGTCAGGT